GATATCAGAATGATACAGGAGTCAAAATGTAGCTTTTAAAGCCAAGAATCTGAAAATGTAATGAGGTCATTTTGACCAAATTTGACTTAATCCTCATTTCGATATGATGGGWCACATATCAGGAGCCACTGATGTGTTAAAACTTTTTAAAAGGATTTTTAACAGTAGGTGTCAGGTGAAGTGCAGACAAACAGAGGAGCTCAGGGATCAGGTAAAATAAAAACAAAAACCAACATGGTGGCAGAACTTACAGAAGCACCAGGAGCACTCAGGGGAACACAAAGACCTGCTGAGGCTGTCAGGAAACTGGTTATATGGAGCAGAGGTGATGAGGTACTGGGAACAGCTGGGCCAATTGGAAACTGGGAACAGGTGAGGTTGGCTCAYCTCTACCTTCACCTGCCTACACCTCATTTTCTAATTTGTGTTGTTCACTGAAAAACACAAAGTAGAAAATGAATCAACTCAACAAAGTGAAATAAACAAAGCTGYGTTCTGTCAGCCGTGTTCACGCTGCGCGTGGTCGTCACCTGCAGACGCTGCACCTGAAATTAGCTCCGAACCCGAAGGAAAACACGGGACGCTCCAGAAAGCCCGAGAGCGAGAGAGGATGAAAGAGGCCGGGAGTCGTGGTGAATGAATGACTGATGGGTGGAATTAAAGCTGCCAGACGCACCGACAGGCCGCTGACTCAGAGTCTGAGAATGAGCCGAGGAGGAGGGAGGGATGAACGAGTGAACGACGGAGGAATACGGTTTTTCAACTCATCGAGCTGATWGCTGGATGGGCTCCAGACCACACACACGGATGATCAGATATCTGCACACACACACCCGGCTGGGTGGGCCTGCTTCGCTCAGGGGGATAGTTGTAGACATAATTTATCTTCACGTCGACGAACACAATGCTCGATTGACAATCGAAAGTCAACAACGCTGCGCTGAAGCTAATTTTACAGTCTGTAATTAAAAAAAGAACAATTATTCATTCATTACAGCTGCGGAACGTGATAAATACCCAGTTTTTTTTATCCAAAAATGCTGTAATTTGCTCAGAGAAGTCAGTTTTAACACATAATTTCTCAGATTATATCCTTCCTGACTTGTAATTGTGAGTAAATGAGTCATGACAGAGTTTATGTAGTAAAGAGGAAATAAAATAAACTTTCACACAAATCATTTCCTCCCACTTTACTCAGATCTGAGGTCTTATTTGTAACGTGCTGCAGGAGCTAAATTATAGGTTTGAAATAAATTACCTATGATTACAATGAATGATTGAAACATAAAGAGAGAAGTGAAAGCAGTTAAACTGTCTGAAAGAAGAGATGTAGTTTTGTTTTGTCCCTGCAGAGAGCGACAAACGTCCAGAATTAAAGCACAAACTTCTGGAACACAACAAACAAAAACCTGTTTTCTGAAGTGATCATGTAACAAAGTCTTATTTTGAAATGTAACAAAGTCTTATTTTGAAATGTAACAAAGTCTTATTTTGAAATGTAACAAAGTCTTATTTTGACGGGTTTAAAATCTCCAAACATTTTATTTGTGTGAAAATAAGTTGTTGACAGTGATAACAAGAGAATCTAATCACTGTCAAAATGCAGAGGTCTCATGAGTACTTGATAAAAAATAACTAAGTAAAATGTTACATGAACAGAAAGTTACTTTGGTAAAAATAAATTTCACTGATGAGAAAAATACTCAAGTAAAAGTCATAAAACTGTTCACAAAAATTGGGAAAGTAAAAGTACTTTTACACACTCTAAGAAATAAACTGTTGAATTTACTGAACCAAACTGGTTCCACTAAGTCAGGATGAGTAAATTGATCAATATGTTTATTATTTACTCAGTTTACTCATCTAGGCTCAGTGGAACCAGCTGACATGACTTTGACTAAATTCAATTCTTCATTTTTAGAGCAGAAACATCTTTCATGAGTTCAAACAGATTTAACTTGTAACAAGTTACCAGGTGTTAGATTTTAAAGTAAAGAAGTAAAAGGATCATTTTTAGCTTTAAAACGTTACAAAATAAAAGTAGATATT